GTTAGCACTCAAACCAGCTCGACAGATTTCACGAACGAAATACGTTTGCTGACGGCGAGATAGTTACTAGTATTTGTAGCCTTTCAGATGAAATTTGAGTTCACATTATAACAAATGATGGCATGCCTGATGCCAAGCGACTTTTCGAATTGGACTGAATTAGCAAATATCATATATATCGTATATCAGATATATCATATAGCAAATGCCACAAAAAACAGATAACTTTAGCAAGTAAATACTATTTTCGATGACAGACAGTTGACAGATTTGCAGCAGTGTATGGTGACTGTTCAAGGTTCTAATCCATCTCTCTCGGTATGGACTGAATGGATGATTGATTGGATATGAAATTCGAGTAGCTCAGTCAGTTTCCACGACCGCTTATCTTTTCGGCGGGTGGGAGGCAGATACGTCAGACTGTCTCCACCGTTCCCGATCCTGTGCCAGCGTTTGAGCTTCTGCAGAATGTAATCCGAGTCTGGAGAAGAATATTTCCATGCACTTGACCCAAGTTATTTTTGTTCGTCCATAGGATCTTCGACCGGTCGGCTTGGCCTATTGTACCTGTTTCGCTTTCTTTTCTGAATGCATTCGCAGTACTTGCCCAAACCACAGCGGGTGTGATTTCTCAGTCTGAAGAAGCAACGGCTGTACACCAAGTCTCTTTTGGACATCTATACTCCGGACCATGTTCAACTCAACGGTTCGTCTCGGAAAGCTAATTTCAGCCGCTTGTACATGGCGTGTAAGTTTTCACTCATGACTGTAGGTGAGCATTGGAATGGATGTCGACTTGAATACAGAGATTTGTCTTTCGACCCAACTCTGTTTTGTCAGAGTGGTTCGGGCTAGTTCACGCAAATCGCGGATCGCCATTTCACACCCGGCTGATCACACGTAAACATGTCCCTGAGATGTGTGTGAACTTCGTTTGTTGCACTGCTTCTCCATGTACTTGCAGGGTGCAGCGAGAAAGCTCTAGGTTTTTGATTTTAGACACGTTCAAACAAATGCCGGCTTCATCTTCTAGGCGGCGAACCTTTCTGGAGTGCGCTAGGGAGCTTTGGAAGATGCCAACAAAAAATGGTGATCTTCAAACAGCGACTTTCTCATCTTGACACCTCTTACGCTGATACACTTATTGGCGTGTTTGCGATTGACAAAGAAGCATCTTATCCAAAAGAGCACAAACAGAAAAGGAACTAAGCGCAGCCAGGAAAGGCTCGCAGGTGTAGCAAGGTCAAAGCTTTAGCCTGCTGTAACTTCAGCTGAATGACTGCCACTCTTCCGCTGACAGGCTACCATCCAGTGATTATGTCAGGCAGTTGGTGACACTGTGGT